GAAAACACACACAAAATAAAAAAATAAATAAATTGAAAGAATAAAAATCTATAAGGATTAAAAGTTTTGATAATTGAACGAAAAACAAACAAGACCTGCTAAAATTTATATTTTGTGTATAAAATGATGTTCAAGATTTTTTTTTTTCAGCAAAGACAAAATTWATTGAAAAGGTTAGAGAAGTTCCACCAACTAATTTGCGGATTATTGATCAGTCCTGAGTGCGGAAGAATACAATGCAATAAAAGTGGACCAACAACACACTCACTTGTTGTCAGATGAGATCCAAACTGGGAGCGCGCTCCTCGGGTGTCCTGGAAAGTGGTCGCACCTGGATCAGTCTGCTGATTTGGGGGTTCCAGGTTTGCTCTTCAAAGCCGTGGGCTTTTAGTTCCCTGCGGTGCCGAGAAAATATCAGCCTCCAGCATTTTTGTTCCCTCCTCACTTTAGTCTTTTGCTGGTGCTGCGGTTGGACGCAGGGAGGGAGACGCTGACCTTGTGAGGAGACAATTAAAACCCCGGGTTGGTTTTCAGTGATGGCGGGTCGCCCTCATGTGGCGCAATGCGCGTATTACTTAATCTGAGTGTTTAAGATGCGAGCTTCAAATAGGTACAGCTTGCTGAATTGCTTTATTCTTGATCATTAAAGAGTTTTAACATTTCYATCAAATAAAATCCTGACAAGATTATACAACACTAAAATATCTGAATTTATAGCAAAAAAAATCAAATAAATAAAAAAGACGTCCATGTTTCTCAAAAATACATATTTAATGCAAGTAACAACACAAAAATAGAGCTGAAATGAATGCAGTTACTGTTACTTTTATTTCATGTTATATTCTGAAGAGTTTGGTTTAAGAAAGTCTTTTTTTAACTTAAATAAATGATCATTATTGGTTGATTCAGTTGACAGAAGAAGGGTTAGCCCAGATGAAACTTGGCACAAAGATGATGAATTTATGCAAAAATGATACATCTTTCAGGTCCTGTGTTGTGTCTGAGTTTTTGTCCAAAAGACATTTTCAAGTGTTCTATTCTTTCAGGCCAAATACTTTTTTTAAGTCTGTAAATCACCAACAGCTAAAATATTTTGGCACTTTCAGAATCCCCTCATTGTGGTAAAAACACATCAACATTGTTATTGTGTGTTGTGACTATATTGCTGAGATGTTATTAATGGGAACCTGTGTGTCTGTGCTGTATGGTTTTAGTAAAATTATTTATTTGCTAAGTTATCTGTCATGCAGATACAAGATTCACTCCTTGGGTAGCTGTATTTGCAGCGGGTAAAATAAGTATTGAACGCGTTACCATTTATCTCAGTAAATATATTACTAGAGGTGCTAATGACATGAAATTTTCACCAGATGTCGGTAACAACCCAAGTGATCCATACATACAAAG